AAATTCTTTATGAGAAATGTGTGGCAACATACCTCAATACAGCACCTGTAATCATGCTTGGTTATATTTCATACCAGTTCTGTGTTACATTTATATTTCTGTGCATATGTCTATATATATGTGTTCTTAATTTTTTTTTTTTTATATATTATATTGTACCCTATTAACAATGTAGTGTTTGTGGACCCAGGACGTACAAAATAAATCTCAATGTATTCTTCCTGGTAAAATATTTTATAAATAAATGAAATATCTTGGAACTCAAACAGGCTTATTTACTAGAGTGAGAATTCAAAATGAAGATCAAATTTAAGGCCAGAGTAGCTGACATGGGAGTAGAACCGATTTAGAGAATGTTTTCCAGCTTGGCTTTCATGAATTTTAAATTCCCTTTGAACGCTCACTTTAGCAAATAACCCTGTAATAACCCTGTAATTTTCGGTAGGTTAGACTTGAGTTAATTAGCCCCATGTGAGAATACATATAGTTACTACAGTGATTTCAACAGAATTTTATTCCAAACAAGATAACAATAGGGTAGATCATTCTATTGTTCATAATTGCCTAATATAGCTATCTACGGGTCCAGGATAAAAATAGAAAGATATTTAAATAAGAACACTCAATGTAATCTATTAACAAAAATTCCCTATCCAGTCTGCTTATTACTGATAATTTGCTTACAAGACGTACTTGGAAATCAGAGCAAGCTGAATGTACCTCCCCTGGTTAAATACTTTGTTATTATTCTTATTCTTATTATTATTATTGTGCATTTTCTATAAACTTTTAAATCTTTTACGTTCCTGCTCAACAACACACCGTAAACAATGATTATTTTGCCTAACATTTTTCAGAAAACTGAAATATCCAAGGATATCTATTTATACAGCTGCAGCTGGCTATTCTTGGTTTTCCAGAAAGACATGGACTCTGCCCACATATTTAATTTCTCATTGATCTATATTATAGCAGGAATAACACAGCTGGGTTCTGCACGTTATGCTTGAAATTTGTAGAAGTATCAACATATAGTGGCATCGCTGGCTTCTCATTGTTTCTTTTTTTAATTGTTCCATGTGGTTTTCTCTGTGTGTTATTCTTGTGGAATTTGTTATTGTTCCAGTTCAAGGCATCAACTACGGGGAAACCCAGGTGGGAGGATGGTCACATTTATAATGTTATTACTATTTTTCATGCTTGTTACTCATATACAATATATTGTTTTCTGTGGCATTGTTCCTATATCCAGTTTAGAGAGCACTGTGTCTGTAATCCCTACATGAAGTGTGTGGCCAAGTTTTTAAAGGGACACTATAGTCACCAGAACATCTACAGTTTAACATAGTTGTTCTGTTGTCTATAGTATGTCCCTGCAAACATTTTAATGTAAACACTACTTTTCTGAGGACAATCACTCAGACAGCCTTTAGATGTGCTTAGTGGGTCAGTGCTGCACAGTGTGCAGTACTTGCATTCAGCATTCCCATGCTCAGAATGGAGAAGCTAAATGTTCCTCATAAAGATACTTTGATTCAATGCATCTAAATGAGGAGATATGGATTGGCGCAGCGCAACGTTCTGCCGTCCATGAGCAAAACCCCCCAATGCTTTCCTACGGGAAAACCGATGATCTCAACGCAGCTGTGATGAGACATGCGTGGAGTTGGAAAACAGGTAAGTACAATACCTTTTTCATGGGAGGCAAGGGGGGGGGGGTGCAGGAACCTAACTGATTTAGAGTCAGGAATAAGTTTGTATCCCTGACACTATAGTGTTCCTTTAAATTGAGCCCCACTTATTTAGTGACTCATAGCACAGAGGTTATTGCTACACTCAATCCGGAATTTCTTTTATCTGCCACTTAATTTACCTCTTCTCTGTGTACTCCCATGTAATGTAAATATTTAGAATTGTCCTTTCTATTGGACAGTGTGTGAATCCATTCATAGCTTATGATGTCTTTTCATTGTGTCATCCGCATGACCATCACAGAACAGCAGCCTAGTGACCAATTGAACGTTCACTTTACAAACTTATCTCTAATTTTTATTTCAATATTTTCACTCACCTTTTTAGATGCACTGTGATTGGGGAGGGGGGGTTATTTTGTTATTTATTAAAGGGACACTATAGTCATCAGAATAACTACAGCTTATTGAATTTGTTCTGGTGAGTAGAATCACTACCTTCAGGCTTTTTGCTGTAAACTGTCGGGATCCCGCGGGCGGCTGCGAGGGGAGGCTGCACTCCGCTCGCGGTACTCACCCTCCAGCCGTCCGTGCTCTCCTCCGCCTCGTGGGCTCGGCGAGCGGCATCCTTCCATCCTCGGATGCCGCCTGCGTTTTCCTCCTCGTCCCCCAGCGGCAGCATGCATGACGCTGTACACTGGGAGACCGCCCAATATATTACACGCCGGGGTCAGTCACCTGACCCGGCGTTAAAGGCACAGTGCCTCAATCACAGTGGGAGGTTTAGATATCTCCCACGTGTGATTGTTAATTCTGATTTGAAATTATCCAATCAGAATTAACCTTATGGTTTAAATACTTACCTTTCCTGTTCCTCCCTGCCCTGTTGTGGTCTTTGCTTGCAAGTATTGCTACTTAACTTGTGGTTTTGGTTACGTACTCTCTGGCTTGTTTATCTGACTCTGTGACTTTCTCCTACCCTTTGACCTTGGCTTGTTTCACGTTATTCTGTCTTCTGGTTCCCTTACTCGGCTTGTCTCCTGACTATTCTGTGTGTGCTTAGCCCGGCCACTCTAAGGTCCAGTACTGCACCTTTTCTGTGTGTGTGTGTGTGTGTGTTAGCGTGTTGGGTTCCCAGAATCGTGACATTACAACAGGGCCATAATGGAACCTGCTGACATACCACAGCTCCTAGTTAATCAAGAGGCTAGAATGGATGGCTTGGACCACCGTATGGATCAGTTTGCTCAAGCTTTGCAAACCATACTGGCTCGTACTGCACACTTGCAACCTGCCGTTCAGGAGGCTGCTGCTGCTGTGCCCGAACCCATTCCCACTCCAGTACCCGTTCCTGCTCATGTAGTTCACATGACGCCGCCACAGCGCTACAGCGGTGACCCAGCATTGTGTCGTGGTTTCCTCAACCAAATCGACATCCATTTGGTGATGAATCCACGTTCCTATCCCACTGACAGATCTAAAATTGCCTTTTTGATAAACCACTTGTCCGGGAGAGCTTTAGCATGGGCCAACCCCATGTGGGAAAATACGTCTCCTATGTCCTTTGCAGATTTTCTGACAGCTTTCAAATGCACATTTGATCAACCCGGTAGGGTTGCTTCTGCTGGCAAGGCTCTGCTTAGGGTCCGACAAGGTAACAGATCTGTAGCGGATTACACTATCGAATTCCTCACTCTAGCAGCTGAAGTGGTTTGGAATAATCATGCCCTCGTAACAGCCTTTCAGGAGGGTTTGGCCGCTTATATGCTGGATGAAATAGCATCCAGGGAATTGCCTGTTCTTCTAGATGATGTTATAGACTATATGATTCTTATTGATAACCGTATTAGAGAGAGGCGTAGTCAAAGACGGCTGGATACACGGGTGTTACCTGCTCTACCCAGTACTGCACTACTAGCGTTACCCGCTCCTAGGCAACCATCCCCTGAACCCATGCAGTTGGGTGCTACGGGGTTAACTGAGGCCGAAAGAGCGTACCGTAGAAGGGAGGGGTTATGCCTTTATTGTGGGAAGAGGGGGCACCACTGTAATGCCTGCCCTAAAGTACAGGGAAACTGCAGCACCTAAGGCCTAGAGAGGGGTCGGCCTTGGGTGTTATGACTTTGTCCCCTCATGTGTCCATCTCCAGGCCATTTATTACGGTTTCTCTTTTGGTCAATAAAACCACTATAACAACCAAAGTTTTGATCGATTCAGGTGCGGCAGACAACCTTATGGATGAGAACTTTGCCAAAACTGCAGCCCTGACTTTGATCAGAAAGGAAACACCCTTGGTCGTCGAGGCCATAGATGGTAGACCACTGGAGAAACCTCTGGTGACCCATGAAACACAGGAAATAGTTATGTCTGTGCGTGTTTTGCACAAGGAAAAGTTAACCTTCCAAATAATTGACTCCCCTACAGCCTCCATCGTTCTGGGTTTTCCCTGGTTAGTTAAACACAACCCTGTACTTGATTGGGGTTGTTTAGATATACTCTCCTGGGGGGAATCTTGTTAACGAGACTGTATGGCTCATGTACGTCCTGTTTGTTTACTCAACATGCCCACGGCCAAACCACTCTCGGTTTCTGTCCCTTCTGTATATGCAGACAGGGCCGGATTAACATAGGGGCTGATGGAGCTGCAGCTCCAGGCCCAGGCCCATGGAATAGGCCCATTGATTTTTTTAAAAAAAAAAAAAAAAAAAATTTTTTTTTTTTTTTTTTACATTTTTTTTTTCACACACTACTCTTAGGGATTCCACCTGACTTTTATTTTATTGGCACAGCCAGTATTTGGGGCTGCCTGGTGGTGCTGGTATTGCAGTTATACTGGCAATACAAATGCTGGTATTTTTCTCAGTATAAACAAGAGATTACTCCGCAATACCAGCACTGGCCAGTAGGGGTCACTGTGTCTGGAGACAGGCAGGGATAGGAAGTTCCAGCATATCCCTCCCTGCCTATCTATACTCACTGATCTGCAGGGGTGCAGCTACAGAGAGTCCAGACAGCAACTCCCACCCTGCAGACACAGCCTACAGCTCAGGGAAGTAAGGGATGGGGGAAAGGCTGCAAGGAGACATACACTGAGACACTAAGGGACATTGGGAGACATTATGGCAGACACTGAGACACTAAGGGACACTGGGAGACATTATGGCAGACACTGAGACACTAAGGGACACTGGGAGACATTATGGCAGACACTAAGGGACACTGGGAGACATTATAGGACCACTCTAGGCACCCAGACCACTTCAGCTTAATGAAGTGGTCTGGGTGCCAGGTCCTTCTAGGGTTAACCCATTTTTTTTATAAACATAGCAGTTTCAGAGAAACTGCTATGTTTATGAATGGGTTAAGCCTTCCCCCTAATCCTCTAGTGGCTGTCTCATTGACAGCCGCTAGAGGTCCATAGGAAAGCATTGTAAATGCTTTCCTATGCGACGGGCTGAATGTGCGCGCAGCTCTTGCCGCGCGTGCACATTCAGCCCAGGAGGAGGAGAGAAGGAGGAGAGCTCTCCGCCCAGCGCTGGAAAAAGGTAAGTTTTTAACCCTTTCCCCCTTCCAGAGCCGGGCGGGAGGGGGTCCCTGAGGGTGGGGGCACCCTCAGGGCACTATAGTGCCAGGAAAACGAGTATGTTTTCCTGGCACTATAGTGGTCCTTTATGGCAGACACTGAGACACTAAGGGGCACTAGGAGACATTATGGCAGATACTGAGGTACTAAGGGACACTGGGAGACATGGCAGACACTGGGACACTAAGGGACACTGGGAGACATTATGGCAGACACTGAGACACTAAGGGACATTGGGAGATACTATGACACAGACACATGGGTAAACAGTATCCCCATGTCTCCCAGCCAGTGTCCCTGGTGTCTCAGTGCCCCCTAGTCTCCCAGTGACCCCTAGTCCCCCAGTGCCCCCAGTCTGCCAGTGTCTCACTGTCCCCATGTCTTCTAGTGCCTCCATGTCTCTCATTGCCTCAAGTGTCACAATGTCCCCATGTCTCCAAGCTAGTGTCTCTAGTGTCTGTGGCCCTGGTGTCTCTGTTCCCATGTCTCCCAGTGCCCCATGTCTCAATGTCCCCATGTCCCCCAGCCAGTGTCTCTAGTGTCTGTATCCCCATGTCTTCAAGTGTCCCCTATTTTCCCATTGTCACCATGTGTCCCAGCCAGAGTCCCCTAGTCTGGAAACTTAAGTGGGATGTATGGGAACAAAACTTGTGTGGACTGGCTAACAATGAATATAATTAAAGGGACACTATAGTAACCAGAACAACTACAGCTTATTGAATTTGTTCTGGTGAGTAGAATCATTACCGTCAGGCTTTTGGCTGTAAACACTGTCTTTTCAGAGAAAATGCATTCTTTACATTACATCCTAGTGATAACTTCACTGGCCACTCCTTAGATGACTGTTAGAGATCCTTCCTGGGTCATGGCTGCCTAAAATGCATCCAAACATTCAGTATCTCCTCCCTCTGCATGCAGACACTGAACTTTCCTTATAGAGATTCATTGATTCAATGTATCTCTATGAGGAGATGCTGATTGACCAGGGCTGTGTTTGAATCATACTAGCTTGGACCCTGATCTGCCTCTTTGTCAGTCTCAGCCAATCCTATGGGGAAGCACTGTGATTGGATCAGGCCACCACTTCTAATGATGTCAGCAGACTGCTTGTTTTTATGAGTCTAACAGCATGCAGAGTTACAGCTTCAGGCTTGAATATAGATTTTGCTATATTTATGGAGGCATGAGGGGTCCAGGGGGGGCTAGATGGTGGTGTTAACACTATAGGGTCATGAATACATGTTTGTGTTCCTGACCCTATAGTGATCCTTTAAGGTAATGCTGACTTTGGTCTCTCTAACACTGTGGCATGTTCCCTTTCTTCTACACTCACTACATACAGCTTTTCTCTGTCCCAGACTATATACCAGGAGCTTCTGCCTGCTAGTAAGAAGATAAGGAGACAAGTGGACCAGCGAGTGCTAGGGGACAGTCCTTAGAAAGCGTTGAGCGAGCGCATCATTAGATGCATTTATGCCAAGCTCAGGGTGCTGTCTGCATAGTATGCCCTTAGTTGGCCAGCTGCATGATTGGCAGGCAGCCTGACATGCATTCATACCAGGCTGGCATTCTAATTCTTTGAGCAGACATGTCCTTTTTTTTGGCATGTTTGCCCGTTTTGGCAGGTTGAGTGATTTGGGTCAGTGGCACACCCTTTTACCGTGCCCATTGACTTCCTGCTTGATTGGACGTTGCTGTTAGGGGTTATGGATTTACTTGGAAGCTGAAAACATAAATTAGAGCGAGATTAGCCTAGGGTATGTGTTTTCTTATAGTTGCTGTTCTTTCTCTCCAGCACCATCTCCATCAGATACATGACGCTTGGGAGTGTTTTACTGTTTTTGGTCGATATGATTCTGTAATTAGGCCCGTCATAATTGTCAGCACCAGGCCCACTGGGCTCTTAATCTGGCCCTGTATGCAGACCTTGCCTTGGTTTTTGAAAAAAGGGAGGCAGATAAGCTACCTCCACATCGTGAGTATGACTGTGCCATAAACCTGTTATCGGGTACTATGCCTCCTAGGGGAAGGGTCTACCCTCTTTCTGAGAAAGAAAACCAGATCATGGAGGAGTACATACGGGAATCCCTAAGTAAAGGTTTTATTAGAAGGTCCTCCTCTCCTGCTGGTGCTGGTTTCTTTCTTTGTGGCAAAGAAGAAGGGCGATTTGAAGCCATGTATAGATTACAGGGGTCTGAACAATATAACGATTAAAAATGCCTACCCTATCCCCCTCATCACTGAGTTGTTTGATCGTGTTAAAGGTTCTAAATTCTTCACCAAATTAGACCTCAGGGGGGCTTATAACCTTGTCCGTATTAAGGAGAATGACGAGTGGAAGACAGCGTTCAACACACGCATTGGGCATTACGAATATCTAGTCATGCCTTTTGGACTGTGTAATGCTCCTGCCGTGTTTCAGGACCTCATAAATGATGTCCTTAGGGATCTATTGCATGTCTGTGCCGTGGTGTACCTTGACGACATACTTGTGTATTCTCCTGAATTGAAGTCACACCATAACCATGTTAGGATGGTGCTCAAAAGGCTATTACAGAACGGACTCTACTGTAAGTTAGAAAAATGTTTATTCGATCAGACCTCTGTGCAATTCCTAGGATATATCATTACTGAACAGGGTTTCAGTATGGATCCTGCTAAATTGGAAGCCATAATGTCCTGGCCACTTCCCCAAGGACTGAAGGCTATCCAGCGTTTTATAGGATTTGCCAACTATTATAGGAAATTTATAAAAACTTTTCACCACTTATCTCTCCTATAGCGAAGCTGACAAAAAAAGGTCTACACCCTAGGGTTTGGACTCCTGAAGCCCTTAAGGCCTTCAAAACTCTCAAGAAGGCATTTGCCTCTGCTCCAGTGCTGCACCACCCTGATCCTTCTCTTCCATTTGTTTTGGAAGTAGACGCTTCAGAGTCCGGTGTGAGAGCAGTACTGTCACAGAGGTTGTAGTATGACAAACCCCTCCATCCCTGTTGTTATTTTTCTAAAAGGTTGTCTGATCCAGAAAAGAATTACGATGTTGGGAACAGGGAACTATTAGCTATTGTGTTAGCTTTTCAGGAATGGAGGTACTTATTGGAGGGTTCTAGACACAAAATTATGGTTATAACAGATCATAAGAACCTCTCCTATATAGCTGATGCTAGAAGGTTATCTGCCCGGCAGGCTAGATGGTCTCTATTTCTCTCACGATTCCAATATGTTATTACCTATAGACCTGGTTGCCGTAATGCCAAAGCTGACGCTATCTCTCGACAGCATGAACCAGTAGAATTTGTTAACCCGACTCCTGAACCTATTGTACCTGCGTCTCAGATAATAGCTGCTACCCATTTGGTTGTTTCGTCTCCCTTTCTTGATAGTATTAAGACATACCAAACCCAAGCACCCCCTGAGACGCCGGTTGGTAAACAATACGTTAAAGCAAATGACAGAAAAAAGTTGTTAACCTTATTTCACACCGCCAAAACTGCTGGTCATCCGGGGGTTACCAAAACCTACAAGGGCCTCCTTCAACAGTTTTGGTGGCCTTCACTCAAGCGAGACATAGTGGATTTTGTTCAGGCTTGTCGGGTCTGCACGCAGTGTAAGTCCCCTAATGTGAGACCCCAGGGTCTACTGATGCCTCTATCTATACCCAAGAAACCATGGACCCACTTATCCATGGATATCATTGTAGACCTTCCTCTTTCTGATGGTCAGATGGTGATACTGACTGTGACGGATAGGTTCTCTAAAATGGCGCACTTTATTCCGCTTAAGAAACTGCCTTCTGCGGTTCAGTTAGCTCAGGTGTTTGCCAAAGAAGTGTTCCGCTTGCATGGGGTACCTCTGGATATCGTTTCTGACAGGGGCCCTCAATTTGTCTCTCGGTTTTGGAGGGGCTTTTGTGCTGAGATGGGGGTCTCCTTGTCGTTCACTTCCTCCTATCACCCGCAATCTAATGGTGCGGCCGAATGTGCTAATCAGTCTGTGGAATTGTATTTGCGCTGCTTCACTAATGCGCACCGGGATGACTGGTCTCGCCTCCTTCCGTGGGCTGAATTTGCCAGGAATACGGTGTCTCATTCATCTACTGGCTTAAGTCCTTTTGAGGTTGCCTATGGGTTTTGGCCTTATGTCCTTCCCGGTGCGTTCTCCGACAAGGGAATGCTCGCCTTGGACCAGCACCTCGCCTCTTTGCGGAAGACGTGGGATCAGGTCCATGTTGCGCTGTCTCGTTCAGCAGCTGCTCAGAAAAAGTTTGCTGATCGCCGTAGGGTTGCGGCCCCTTCTTATGTTCCGGGTGATAGGGTGTGGTTGTCCTCCAGGAACCTCCGTCTTAAGGTTCCCTCGATGAAATTTGCTCCAAGATTTCTTGGTCCCTACAAGGTGTTACGTATGGTTAACCCCGTTTCCTACTCCCTTGACCTGCCTCCTTCCATGCAAATACCGAACACGTTTCACGTCTCGCTTTTGAAGCCCTTGCTGTGTAACTGGTTCTCTCGTCCCCTCGAGCGGCCCGTTTCCCCTCGCGTTGTACCTAGTGACGTGTTCGAGGTGGCTGCCCTTCTCGACTCTCGTGTTTCTAGGGGTCGGCTACAATATTTGGTGGATTGGAAGGGGTACGGCCCTGAGGAACGGTCCTGGGTTTCGAGCTCTGATCTGCATGCTCCCTCTTTGGTCCGCTCCTTTCATGCCCGGTTTCCTTTGAAGCTTTCTGCTTCCCGCCCTCTGGGCGGTCTTCGAGGGGGGGTAATGTCGGGATCCCGCGGGCGGCTGCGAGGGGAGGCTGCACTCCGTTCGCGGTACTCACCCTCCAGCCGTCCGCGGTCTCCTCCGCCTTGTGGGCTCGGCGAGCGGCATCCTTCCAGCCTCGGATGCCGCCCGCGTTTTCCTCCTCGTCCCCCAGCGGCAGCATGCATTACGCTGCACGCTGGGA